TNTATTAATTATTATTATATATATATATATATATATATATATCTAATGTAAAATATTGTTTTTTAGAGAACAAGGTTTAAATACCTTTGTTCTTAGACCTCATTGTGGTGAAGCTGGTCCCATTCAACATCTTGTCTGTGGTTATATGATGGCAGAAAATATCTCTCATGGTCTTTTACTTCGAAAAGTGCCTGTACTGCAATATTTATATTATTTGGCGCAAATTGGGATTGCAATGTCACCTCTTAGTAATAATTCTCTTTTTTTAAATTATCATCGTAATCCATTACCTGAATATTTAGCTAGAGGATTATGTATAAGTCTTTCTACAGATGATCCCCTTCAATTTCATTTTACTAAGGTCAGTATTACATAAAAATCTTTTTAATTCTTTTGAAGTTTTTTTTTTTCATATTTAAATTTGTAATAATATTTTCTTGTAGGAACCTTTAATGGAAGAATATAGTATTGCTGCACAAGTATGGAAACTTAGTTCATGCGATATGTGTGAACTAGCCCGAAATTCAGTACTTATGAGTGGTTTTCCACACAAGGTATATATTCTAATGATTAATAGATAATAAATTAATACTATGTAAATATTATTTTATTTTTATAGAGTAAACAATACTGGCTTGGGCCAAATTATACTAAAGAGGGTGTGGCTGGTAATGATATTACTCGAACAAATGTACCAGATATTCGAGTGGCCTATCGATATGAAACATTAGTCGATGAATTATCGAATATCTTTAAAGTCGTTGAAAAACCTGAAGCCGTTCCATTTTAATCTTTAGCGATAGTACAAAAAAAACCCTTAAACATAATATAATATAATTATTCTCTATAACTACAAATAGTATCTATAAAATTCGATAAAACTGCGATAAAAACTATTTGTAAGAATCTTGTAATGTAAACGATTATATAATTTATGCTAATAATCATTGTCAACTTTCGATAACTCCTTTTTAAAACATTTTTTTTATTAATTACATTAATTGTAAAATTAAAAATTATCTTATTTAGATTTCACTTGATACTTTTACATTATATATTATAATGATAATTGTTTTATACTTAATAATTTGAAATTTTTATATTTTTTTTCTTTAAAATATTTTAATATATAATGACGATATTTTTAAAAGTAAAAGTTAAATTATAGGAAAATGTCTTTCACTCAGGTTGCAGAATTTTACTATGAAATAGCGAAAAATTAATCTCGAATTTCTCATGTTGACCAATTTAAGAATAGTAAATATTAGATAAAATTCAAATTTCAAATGTTATTATCTTTATTATACATAATTGCATATTATTATATAAATTAAATTAGAATTGAATACCATATATATTAATTTTATTAAAAAAAAAAGAAAGAAAGAAAGAAAAAAAGAACGAATGTAAAGTACCATAAAGCAGCAATTCATTTTTCATGTTTTAGTCATTAGAAGAATATTAGTCCAATTTTTTGAATCTTAGTATTATTTTCTTACCTTTTTGTACATTTATACAGAAATTGTATATGTTATGTTTTTAAAAAGTGTGTTTAAGTCAAATATGAATAGTTTTCTCATACATGAATTATATTTCATATATGAATATAATAATATATTTATAATATTTATGTAATTTTTATTATTCTTAATATTAAATTTGAAGGTACTAAATTTAGTAAAAGTATTCGTAAAATAATTAAACTCTTATATATATATATATGGCAATTCAAAGTTATTTTTGAAATCAATTTGAAATTATAAATTTCTTTCAGTTTTTAACACAACTTTGTGATTAATGAGCTTTTATCGGCAAATGTATGATAATATATGAATATCCGTAAATTTAATCTTAAATATAAATTGTTGCTAGATAAAAAAATGTATGTATTGTATAAAGCATATCTTATAAAATAAAAATATACTTGTATTGTTAAAATAATTTTGTGTTATCAATATTAAAATTTATTTAAAATATTTTATATTTTAAATTTTTATAATGAAAACATATTTGCATAATATTATAAATCTAATAACTTAATCATAATATGCATTGTAAAAATTGACGGCCATATCACGATATATCTTTTTCAAATAGAAAAAAAAAATGTATATTTTATTAGATTTACATTTAATTTTAGATTTTTTTGTATGCGTGTAATTTAAATATAATCATTTAAATAAATAGGAAATATAAAAACTTGATATTTATAATTCATTGAGATTTTTTATTCATTTTAATATTGTGAAAATAATGTCTTCATTTTATTAATTTCATTAGCTAAATTTTTATACGAGATCATAAAGCTTTATAAATAACTTATAGACTGTTTTGTTTAAATAAAGAGAAGGAATTAATTATTTTTTATTATTAATTGATATGCTTATCTTGTTTTCCTCAATTATATTATACAACATATAACATTTTTGTTTATATAATTAATAATATCATTTATTATTGAACTTTCTTAATCTTCTCTGTAAATTGTAAACTTTCTGCAATTTTTGGTAATATTTCTGTAAATATTACTGTTCCCGTAAAGACTAGGATTGTACCAATCCAGTGATAAATTGTAAATGGATTTTTGAAATATATTATAGAAAAAAGTAAAGATAAAAATTTTCGTAATGTTATTACTAATGTTACTGTAAGAGATGTACATTCCGTTGTTAATACAAAAACGGAACTTATACACATATATCTAAAATTATATATTAAGGATTATATATTATTAAAATTTGATTATGTATTTTAATTATACTTAATAATTTTAATACATTTTATATGATATTAATAAAAGGATACTGTGTCAAAATATTTCCTATAAGATATATAATTAATTTTGGCACTTGAATATTAATAATTGATATTTTTATTGGATCTGAAGCTAAGGCATATAAAAGATGATCCCAAATATTAGAAGTTAATGTTAAAAAAAATGGTAAAGGTAATAAATGCTGAAAATAAATATTTAATTTTATACATATATTTTAATTAGGTGAAAAAAATTTGATATTTTGAAATTTTAATAGGTAATTTAAAATAATTTAAAAAATTAAATTTTACCGTGTAATATAATGCTTCTCTCGCATTTTTTCCATATTTTTTATGTAATACTTCTTGATAAATTCCCATTCTTGCAGATACAAATAATGCAATAGTTAATAATGATATTCCTAATATCCACCAGAAGAAATCATCCCATGGTGTAGTTGGTACTTGCTCAATATTTTTAGGTTGTAAAGATTTAATTTCTTTACCGCTTACAATAGTACAAATTGCAATTCCAAGAGTTATCATAAATACAGATAAATATTTACTAAAGATATATTTTTTTTTTAAAATAATAATACCCATAATCATATTAGCTATCAGAGAACCCTAAAATTATTAAACATAAATTTAAACATAATTTTGTATCTATTAAAAAATTTGAATATTGATATATTTTATATTTATAGCTTATATTAATACTTACAGCTCTAAATATCATATGTAATGGCATAGGTATATTAAAATCAAATGCATAATTATTGCAAACATTTGCAACAAAAAACATTGTGACTAATATAAAATAATCTTTTATTCCTATATTGGGCTTTACTGTTCCACATTTTGAAGTGAATAAAAACCCTTCTATAGATATAAAAAGGAATTGTGAAAATGTGATAAGATTTCCACTACCTGGATCATCTCTGAAAAAATAATAACATTATTATTATTATATAATGATCAATATACTATTAATAATGAATAATAATTTTAAAATATCACATTTCAAAATTATATTATCGAAAAATGTAAATTATTATATTATAACTGTTAATTATATATTTATAATATATATAATATATATAATATATATAATATAATAATATATATAATATCTAAAATTAAAAATATATGATATAAAAAAAAATACATAAAAAATAAAATGTAATACTGACTTAACAAGAAGTTCCAAGAAAACAACATTACTGCAACAACCAAGAAAAACACACAATATTGCAATGCTTGCGCGCATATTATTAATTAACAAATATCACAAAATATAACCTAAAATGATTAATGGTATCGAATTTCGTCCCCTATTTATTCTATTTCAAAATTATGCAAAATATATTTACTAATGACTGGGTAAATTATCACAAAGTCATGATACATAATTATCTAATATCTCATTTAAATTCCACATAATTCCTTCCATATACGCATATGTACTACAAAATAAAGAATTCAGTGAATACATATAAAAGACTTCATTCTATACTAGTTTATGCTATATCTTGTTTAAGATACATTTCCTTACATAAATCTTACATAAGTATTTATAAATACGTATAAAGAAATGAAATTTCTGTTACTTGTAAAAAATATAATTTATATTTTATATTAAGATTAAATTATTTTTAAATAATAATTTATTTAAATATTTATTTATTTTAAATATATTAGTGAATAATAAAATATTTCATATAGTATTTTAATCGTTAAAATAAAATATCCTTTTTTCTTTAAATTTAAGCTTTAAGAAAATGAAATATTATGTCAATATAAAAAAAAATTTTGATAAAAAAAACTATTAAGATAATATTATTCATAGAATTTAAAAAAAAATTTAAGATGAAATATATTAGATATTTATTTTACATAATAAAATTTAAAAATAATTTTATTGATGCATTTCATCAAATATTTCTTGGGCACATAAATTTTAAAAAACAAAAATAAATAAGGAAAACAAAATAAGAAAAAAAATAAAGATAGGTTAAAAATTGTAGAATTAGCATCATTTTTCGAGCATTGTAAATATAAAATTTGCTTGTTTTACTGATTAGAAATTAATAAATACATTTCAATATTTTTCAACATAAATTATTTTTATATATAAGAACTATATATTTTATGTGTACAGAAATTTCTAAAAATTTTCTAAAAAATCGCAATTATAAAAATATTTACATATATTATATATAAAATGTTCTTTTTTATTATTCACTTCTATATTACTCATACATTCTTGTTTAATTTTAACATTTTTAATATTTATAACATTTTGATTTTTAAATTATAATTAATTTAATTCGTTTATTTTTTTGAATTTTATCTTATTGTTGATAAAATATATTTTGCTAATAAGTGAAACAGCAAATTAAAATTTTTTTTAAATTAAATCTATCTTACCATCTCGCGCCATCTCGCGTTTGAACATCCGAAATTCTAACTTATTATTAGCATAACAGAATTTGCAAGGAGGTATTCGAAGTCAGAGATAAAGAAAGCAATATTGTGCGAGAAGGACAGAGATTATCTCTTGCCATTTTGAAGATATTATATTGAACATTCATTAATTATTCGTTTTTTATTCAAATTTCGATAGTTTTGAATTCGCATCTTGAAGTTAGAATTTTTGACAAGTTTTTCGTATCAATTTTAATATAAAATTTGTTTTTAATAATTATTTTTTTAACAATTAATACATTATACTTTTCAATATACCTCAAAGACACTATATTGAAAATTTATTAATTATTTATAGTATAATATTTATATATATATAGTATAAAACGAATAATTAATAAATTTTTCATATGGTGTCCTCAAAGTAAAAAATATCTCTATTCTTTTTTGCATAATATTGTTTTCTTTGCCTATAATATCGAATACCTTCTCGCATATTCTGTTATATTAATAACAAATTGGAGTTTTGGGAATCCAAACACGAGATGACGCTGATTTCAGAAATTTTTTAGTCTTTCTTTTACTTATTATCAGATGTTAAAAATATTATTCAAAATATCATGCTTCTAAAATTACTCAAGAGATGACACTGATTCTCAATTCTTATTTTATTCTGTTTCGACTATTTTGACACTCAAGAGATAGCGTTGATAATCATTTCTTATATTTTACTTCTATTTTTTTTCCTATTATTTTTTATTTTATTTTTTATAGGTTTCATTTGAAACCGTCTAATGTTGATTTTCATTATTATCGTATCTGTATCCTTCTTTCGCTATTTATTTTCTTTGTCTATATGTTTTTAACGTACAATTACAAATAAGATACGGGATATCGTTTAAACACATTTTTATATATTTTTATATATTCTTGTTTTATTTCTATTTAATTCTAATACAAAATTTAATTCTAAATATAAAATTAAATACATAATTAAATGTATAGTCATATAGGTTTCTAAAAAATTTAATTACGTTATTTTAATTATGTTAGATCATTAAATCAATCATCATAAATCTAAACTTTAAAATTATAACTTTTGTTTCAATATTTGTTATTTATATTTTTCGAGATATTTATACATTTTTAGATGACATATTCTGATGCACACATACATATAAATATGATTATATTTATTAAAATTTATTTTAAAAATTTTTTGTAATAAAATGTAATGCTTTATTTGTTAAATACAAATAGATAAAAGCTTAAAAATATTATTTGTATAACATCTTATCATATTTATACATCTTAAAAACTAAAGATATTATAAAATATCACAATATTACAATTATACTTTTGTTCCTTCACATTTTATATGTAAAGTACTTAATAATGAAGTTTTACAATAATCTAATAGAAATATATACGAGAAATTTAATATCACTTTCTCATGTAATAAAGAATTATTTTTTAGTTATTGTACAATAATATTTTCTATATTTTTTTATGATTATGGAAAGTTTAAGATAAGAAAGTTTAGAATATTGGAAAGTTAAAAATATAATTAATAATATTTTCATCAATTTTGAAATTTTAAAATTGTTATAATTGTCTTAGAAAATCTAGTTATTAATAACAAAAATCAATTTGATAACAAAAATGAGATAGTAAGATGTGAATTGAAAATATAACAATTTTAATAGCTTCAAAAAACATTTGAAAGACATAAAGTAATTATATAGAAAAAGTATAAAAATTATATTCTTAAACCTTCATAATAAAACACAAATTGTTCTACAACATACAGTAATTAAATTTAATCATGTATATATGAAGACACAAAAATGAAATATAAGTTTCTTATTAATCATTACAAATTTCATTAATTTAATTTTCTCTCATATTTATTTCAGTTTGAATAGATATAAAAAATTGTTACGATTAATTCAAAAAAAAAAAAAAAAAAATAATTCGATTTGAATGTGCAAAAAAAAATCAGTTTTTACTTATTATCGAAAAAGATATCTTTGATTTTCATTATTTTATTCGATTTTAAATTATTACAATAAAATCAGGCAAAAAATGCTTACTTTCGTGCTGTAATTTTTAATCTAAGCCCATCAGCATTGTGTAATACTAATTCAGAAATAAAACGAAGTTGATCTTCAGTATCTAAAGATTCAACATGAAAGTTTTTCAATATATACAAAATAAGAACTTTAACAATCATTGTAGCGTATTTCCACCCTATACAATTACGGGAACCAGCACTAAAGGGAACAAAAGCGTAAGAAGGATATTTTGGTCCATCAGGAAGAAATCGTTCTGGTCGATAAGTATCTGGCTCTGGAAAGTATCGAGAATCTCGGTGAAGAAGGAATGAATTGACGAGAACCGTCGATCCTATTGGAATTTCATGCCCCACTAAAAACGAATTAATTTATTTAAAAAATACCCTGTCCTGTGAAAATAAGAATTTCAAATTGAAAAGAAGATCTATCTAATAATCAAGTAAACAAGTAATATTTACAGATAGTAATAGGATGATAGATTTGTCTTGCGATGAGTGGCGTTACTGGATAAAGTCTCCATGATTCTTTTATGCACGCTTCTAGCCACGTTAATTTACTTAATATATCTAAAGTTAATTCTTTCGTCCCTACTGTTTCGTAATATTCTTCAATGATTAATTCCTAAAATGAAAAATAATAAAAATTGTGAAATAATGATTTGTTGTACAAACTGTAAAAACTTGATGTAATATAATTATGTTATGCAGAATTTCTATACTTGATATTGAGGATGCCTTCCCAATGCATACAAAATCCACGATACACTAGTCGCAGTGGTATCATGTCCAGCGAACATGAACGTGTTCACTTCATCGCGAATATCATCATCGGTGAGAACTTTACCATCTTTTGATAATTCTAATAACAAGTCCAATAAAGCTTGACGTTTATGAGATTTTTCATTAAAATTTGTATCTTTTCTATCTTTCCACTCGGCTTTTCTTTCCGCGATTATCTGTAATCAAAAAATAATATTAATTTTAATTCTTTATAATATTAAATATCTCGAATTTTCATATTAATTATTATTATATTAAAAGTTTATTTTATATTTTTAAACGAAGCAAAAATTGATATAATTATTTTGAATGAAAAAATTATACTTACTTTATTGACAAATCCATGAGTAACGCTAAGCGCGTGATCATGTCTTTTCCCCCACGATGTTAACTTAAAGATTGGATCGAAGGACATCCACACGTTCAGAAATCTTCTTTGCGAAATAGAAGCTAATCTAGAAAAAATATACTTATGTAATATATCTTCTTCTAATGTAAATAATTTTGATAGAAAATATGCTTACGTGTTCACAGCCTGCACGTATTCATTTTCAAAATTTTTTTGCGCGTTAATATTACATCCCATGGAACTATCTGTAACATTAAAAAACAAAACTTATTAATTTTTCTTAAATATAAATAAAAAAAACTCGATATTGACGAAACATTTAGAACATATATATATATATATATATAGAGCGATATGTCGCAAATATTATCGCATTAAGATGTTCGATGATCATAAACGATTTTCACTATTTCAAAAATTCGTATGTGTGCATTTAAGGCTTGTATTGCGTTCGATATCAAAAACATTAAATTTATAATTCAAGAAGGCAATGGAAATATTTGATCCTTCGTTGTTCAACAGATAATCCCGTATACACAATATGTCACACGGAATGAAAAATCGATAAATTAAAAAAAAAAGCAAAGTTGGCTTTTTCAATAATGTAGAAAATTTATTAAGTGAAAATTTATTATTAATATATATATATATATATTATTATATTAATATATTATATATATATATATATACATATTATCAAGAAATGGCTACGTTACTCACTACTCGACATTGGGGATCAGACGAATCGTTTAATTGCTTTGGCAAGATGTTTGTGAGCAAGTTCACAAAATCGCAAGAAAACCGTAACAATAACATATTAACTCCAATATCTGATTACGCGAATGCAGATAAATCCCTTAAACAGTCTGCGAAACGAAACATCGTTTCGAAAATTACAAAATTGAAGACCAAGACCTACAACGAAATTATTTTAGAATCTAGCCACGTAAGTGTAGTATGATTTTCGTTCGAAATGACACGCACATTGAAAAATATATAACTTAACCCCGCAGTGTACACAGTGAACTTGAGAAACATAAATATCCACATGCAGATACCAGAAAGTGAATTACTAGATATGTTACAAACGATGGAGCTCGATGCTATGTACATATACTACGTACTTTAACCCTCGAAGTACGAGCCTGGGTACACACACGTTCCAGATCCACTCACTCAATTTT